GGGGGGGGGGGGAACAGCCAGCCCTTAGCATGTTTGTATAGCTGCTATAGCTTGAGATAAACAGGCGTGTTTTTCGCCCTGGAGGATGTCTGATGTGCAGGTGGCAGCACTTCTGTCACAGACACAGACGTTCTCAGGTTACTGTTTGAAACACGGTGCAGATATTTCTGGATGCTCTTTTGGAGGAAAGCACGTGAGTTTTAAGATGGGTTTTGTTTTGATGTTTTTCTTTTGCTGAATGCTGTTTATTTCACTGTTCCCTGCGAGGTCTGGCTTTGCTCACTGACCACGTGGTTATGGTTTCTGTTTCAGTATTTGGGTCTGAGCCTCGTGCCTTACAGGGAACTGCGTACCATCCTGTGTGCAGGGCAGCAGCTGATGGCTGACATGTTGAGCTGCCTTTCCAGGAATAGAACATAAAGCAGATAGCATAAAAGAGCACCTGCCTTTCCACCATGTGTGCATCACAGCAGCACGTCTCCATTCGTGATGGGGCTTCTTTTAGCAAGGGGGGGGAAACTGGTGATCTGTGTCATAAAACCAGGGAACTCCTTTCCTGTTCAACACGCGATTCCTAGCGATGCTGTAGTGAATGCCGGGCGTTGCAGAACAGTTTCACTTCCACAAATCTGCTTCTCTTTCATGTTGAAGAATGTCATCGACCGGAAGCCGTACCCAGATGATGAGAACCTGGTGGAAGTCAAGTTTGCTCGCACGCCCATCATGTCGACGTATCTGGTGGCATTTGTGGTGGGAGAATATGACTTTGTAGAGACCAGGTCCCTCGATGGGGTCTTGGTGCGTGTTTACACTCCTGTGGGCAAAGCTGAGCAAGGAAAGTTTGCATTAGAGGTAAATGCACTCGAGGTGATTTTGTTATTGGTGGTGTGAGCTGTGCAGGCTGCGTGCGCCTCTCCTTTGGCCGCACGGATCTGGCAGAGCTTTGGGAGGGTGCTCTGCTTCAGTAGCTCAGGGGGACTGGGCTTGATGTGGACAAACTCGTGCCTGTGATGACAGAACACACGTTTCACTCGAGTCGTTTCGATTCAATGGTGCAGCTGTGATCCACGGGCGACGAGGAATGCTGAAGGAAAGGGGGCAGCCTGGGAGGAAAAGGGGATGGGAGCCTTCCAAGGTGCTTTGGGAGCTGGGAGCGAGTCGCCTGGAGGAAAGCTTATGTGCTGCTCTCGTCAGCTGGTCTTGGCCATCGGGAAGCTTTTGGTTTCACCAGTTGTTCCAAGTTAACAAAATATTTACCAGGTTTCTCCTCTTCTCTCTTACAGGTTGCTGCTAAAACTCTGCCTTTTTATAAGGACTACTTCAATGTTCCTTACCCTCTTCCTAAAATTGATCTCATAGCTATTGCAGATTTTGCTGCTGGTAAAGTAACTCACTTTATTGATGAACTGTATTTTATTTGAATGATAAACGTTTAGGAAGAGGTGTGTATCCATATCAATAAACCTTTGTATTTATTTTATAAAGGTGCCATGGAGAACTGGGGCCTTGTTACTTATAGGTATGCTGTTAAAATACTGTCTTTCCCCTTCTTTGTTCACTAATTCTTAGCAGTAACTGGAATTAGTTTTAGGGAGCTGGCGTCATCCCAAATAAGACTAAATCAATACCTTCAGCTCTTGCTTCAGTTTGAATCCTTGTGACTTCTGCAGCAGCGTGCGTTGCTACACAGACCTCAGGAAGGCAGGAATGAGCTCTGTAAGCACTGTCCAAGGGTGTGAGGGCTTTCAGCTGTCTGGCAGCACTGCCTGTTCTCCAAGAGAACTTTCTTGGCTGTTTTTTTTTTTCCCCCCTCCAAGTTACTGGCACAGCTGGAAGGGTTCCTCCTTTTATGTTGCAGGCAAGTTGGTCAATGTAGCAGCCACATGATTATCATGTAAATGAAAAATGCTAACTTGCCTTCCTTTTCAGTTTTTGGTGTTCCTCTGATCAAGCTTTTAGACCTTTGCTTGATAATCCTACATGATCTGTGCACACTGTTAGACTGAGTCTCCATTTTGTACATTGGACTTGGAAGCTTTGGACTTCAATCCTTTTGAATTTCTTTTGCTAAACTTTGAATTTGGCCTTAAAAAAAAAACAAAAAAGAATTGCAGTGGATGTTTGAATCCAGGTTTAAAAATCCACATCTGAACTTCTTACGATTTTGATGAAATCTTTTTACCTCCCGTGGGGGGGAAAAAACCCCACCAACGAGTCGATTATTTTATTTTTGAAGCCTTTCTTCATTTTTGCTGCTTCTTTTTTCCCCCTTTTACTCTCGATTTGGCACGCTTGCTTTGATCCCCTTGGGGCCAGAAGGTTGGCACAGAGCTGTGCTGGAGCTTCGTCCCCTCGGAGCACAGCAGTCCTGAAGCTGCTGCCCCACCGCGTCCCGGTCGCAGCGGGGTGTTGGAAGGTGGTGATGCCTGAGCTGGGGGCTCCCGTGTGCTGTGTGTGCAGGACTGTGTGCGTGGGACACAGCTGGGGGGAGCTGGGCTTCCTTTGGGGCTGAGGGGGGCAGAGGAGGTTGGCTGTGCATCCACCACGCAGTGCAAAGGGAGTTTCAGTGCAGGTGAGACTTGTCGTGTCCCCCCTTCCTTCCTAGATTACGTAGGGGAGCTGTTTTACACACAAAGCATAAACTTTCTCGTTCCTGCTTGGGTTACTGCACTTGTTTTCTTGCATGCTGTGAGGAACTGTTGCTCCAAAGCATTCCAGTAACTGTGGAACTTACCAAAGCAACGTCTAAACTGAAATACCTCTTGGTTTTTTTCAGTTGTACCGACGACTCTGTAGCTCGTTTAGGTTGTTTCACCTGCTTTTGCTGTGTTTTTGGACCTAGGCACGTTTCACTCTGCTCAGTTACCTCTCTCTTTTAAATACAGGGAGACTGCATTGCTCATTGACCCCAAAAATTCCTGTTCTTCGTCTCGCCAGTGGGTGGCTCTGGTTGTGGGACACGAACTTGCTCATCAGTGGTTTGGAAACCTCGTGACCATGGTATCTAACAGCTACAAGTTCTACTTTTTGTTGCCGTGTGCTTCGTGTCCATATTATTGTGTCCTGTCCTAACAGTCTTAAAAGCTGCTTTATTATCAGATCCTTCTTTATTAGTGTGTCCTGTAAAGGTATTTCTAGATCTTTTCTAAGGCAGGAGATGAGTTGTGCTCACTGCTCTTCTTGGGCTGCTGACCCCTTCATAGGGAGGAGCTGCTGCTCGCAGGCATTCCCTGTTCTCTGCCCTGTGCTGAATGAGGACGTTACAAGTTTCTCTTTGCTGCTGACTTCTTGTTGGTAAAGTAAAGCCCTTGGAATCTTGTGTTTATTATTCCACCCTCTTCATTTTCCAGGAGTGGTGGACCCATCTTTGGCTGAACGAAGGGTTTGCCTCCTGGATTGAGTACCTGTGTGTCGATCACTGCTTTCCAGAGTATGACATCTGGACTCAGTTTGTTTCTGCTGATTACACACGAGCTCAGGAGCTCGATGCCTTAGACAACAGTCACCCAATTGAAGTAAGCCTTGTCCTCCTGCTTATCTCCCTTCTTTCTTGTCAGCTGGATGTGAGTTTTTTGTTCCCTGTTAAGAGCTGTACGCTGGTTCGTAATGCAAGGAAAAACCCAAGGTTGCATTCACACTTTGTGGATTTTCCTCTATGACACATTGCTTTCTTCAGTCAGAAAACTCCCTAAGCAACAGAACAAACAAAATCAGGACATTGTGGCAATTAACTGACCGTTAATTATCCTCTTCATCACAGGTTAGTGTTGGCCATCCATCCGAAGTAGATGAAATATTTGATGCTATTTCTTACAGCAAGGGAGCATCTGTGATCCGAATGCTGCACGACTACATTGGTGATGAGGTAAAAAGTCTGTTGTCAGGAGCTAACTGTAGGTTCTCAAATATTTCTGCACTGCAAACACCTGAAGTTTCTGTCTGTTCTATCCCCAAGACTTCTGTGTGGGTTTTGGGTTTGTATTTGGTTTTGTGTGGGTCTTGGGCTGTACTTGAACTTACCTAGGAGAAATGAGGCTGTGGGGAAGATACAGAAATAAAATCATCTCAGTGGTGAAATCTGGCTTGGGGAAAAACACAGAAGAGTTCATCTTTGCAGCAGCAGAGTTTAGGAGGGAGTTACAGGTGTGGATCCTGGGCTTCCTGGGTTGGTTCTTCAATCTGAATGCAGCACGGAGGGAGGACGGAAGGGGCCTCTGCTGTGTTGCCATGACATGCATCCAATTGTGTGTTCCCAGGACTTTCGGAAAGGAATGAATTTATATTTAACAAAGTTCCTGCAGAAGAATGCAGCCACAGGTAACTGATTATTACATGATTAAGAGAAGTAATTTCTTGAGACACGGTTTGTGCTGGTTTCTTACGTAGCTGCTTTTGCAACTGAGTAACTGAAAAGCAGGAAATAATGGGCTTGCATCCAGTTTCCTACAAGGTTTCCCTGCACAGCCAGAATTCTGCACCCTCTGGGGGCTCTGTGCCTTGCATGAGGTGAACTGCAGGAGCTGCACCTCGTGCTGATGAGCACAGCCCTGTGCTGATGGACATGGAGCCTGGTGGTTTGCCTGCTGCACGCCACGCTTGGCAGTATTGATTGCATGGATGAGTAAACAGTTCAAAGTCTGCTCTGACATCTCTTGTCTTAGACCTTTTTTTGGGGGGGGGGATGTCATTCATAAACATGCAATTGGACCTTCAGCCTCAAGCAGGCCGTGGCTCTTTTGACATCACAGATGAAAAGTGCAGGGAGAGGCTCTTCTCTGTGCCACTTCCAGCGTGCAGCCTGGATTGATGGCGTGCTTTGAGTTGCTGTGAGGTTTTCTCCCCCCTCTCCTCACCTGCAGGTGGTTTAAACAGTTTCCTTTTTCTCACCTGTCACCTTCACAACTTGCCAGAAGGGCAGAGGAGATCACAGTGGGCAAATGGGAGGAGTAACCACAGCTCCCACCCCCCAGAGCCCCGTGGTGTAACAGTGTGACACGGTGGGGCTCGGGGTGTCCTTAGTCAGTCTTTTCTTCCTTACAGAGGACCTCTGGGAAAGCCTGGAAAAAGCTAGTGGTAAACCTATTGCTGCTGTGATGAACACATGGACCAAACAAATGGGATTTCCACTCATTTACGTGGAAGCTGAACAGGTGAGTTGTGCAGTAATTCCCCTTACAGCAGCTGGGTTAATTTCAGAGTAGATGTTCTGCCTTTCGCTGCGTTTAAGATCAAATTTGGTGCCTTCCAGTAACTTGAAAACGTGCAGTGAATTGCTTTGCTTAGTGGCAGGTCTGTTCCTGCAGGGAGGAGAAGAGGAGGAACCCGGTGGAAAGTGAAATAGAGTTTATCCAGAGGCACTGCAGGCCCTGTGCCTGGGCTTTGCTGACGTGGCCCGTTTGCTCTTTGTGTTTGAAAAGCTGCAGGGGCAGTGGAATATCTGCTGTGGGTCCCCTCAGTGCACACTGTGCTTCCAGCTCCATTCTGATTGTGCTTACGCTGCAGCATCGCAGGCTGAGCTGGGATTATAGTGGCTGGGAAGTGAAATCAGACCCCAAAAAATCAGTGGGTGATCAGGGCACGTGCATCTCAACAACAGTAATGATGATGAAGTGGAATGAATCCTGGAGCTTGCTTCTGTTTGTGGGGGAGGATGGAAGCTCTGTGAGTTCGAGGAGCGCACCGGAGTCGTGCTGAGTGGAAGCTGAGGTTAAATGATCTGAAGTTGCTTTCTTCTTTAACTCTGAACGTTGAAATAAGTTGGAATTCTTGAAGAATCTGATTTTTTTTGTTTTTATATTTTAGCAAGAAGATGACAAAGTGTTGAAGTTAGTCCAGAAGAAGTTCTGTGCCAGTGGACCATATGCTGGTAAGATGAGGGCTGGGAGCAGAAGCAGAGCATTCATTCCTTTTGGTGCAGTGACAGCAATATTGGGAGATCAGGCAGCTGCCCTGCTTGGATTTGGGTGTTTAAGGCTTCAGAATGAATACAAAGCTGAGTGCTGTGATGCTTTTCACGTCTTCCTGCTATGGTGAAAGCTGCAGTCTTCAGCTCAGCTTTCATTCTGAGGCTCTTCTCTTCCCACGTCCGCTTTAAGGGCTTTGCTGCCATCTGAGGAGCTCTGTGAGCTGCTGGTCTTATGGCTGTGAATGAATAAAAATGTCTTGCATGGAAGTCAGCTCTATTTGGAGATGGAAAGTAAAGTGTTAGGCTTCAGAGGTGCTGTAGACACCCTTGGTGTTGGTCTCTAGAACTGCCCTTTTCCTTCAGGTTTTTGTCAGTTTAAATTTAAACATACTGACATCAGCTGCTGCCGAAACTTCAGCCTCACGCAAGGCTTCTCAGTGTGCAAACCCTTTTTCCTTAGGCCTTCCTTTGTTGTTGTTGCCTCTTTTAGGGGAGGATTTCCCCATGTGGATGGTCCCCATCAGTATCTGTACAAGCGACGACCCCACCAGTGCCAAAATGCAAGTGCTGATGGACAAGCCAGAGCTGACCTTGGTTTTAAAAGATGTAAAACCAGACCAGTGGGTGAAGGTGAGTGGCCACAAGGGAGCACTGAGCTTGGTTGTCACTGTGATGTTCTCCTTTCCTCTTCCCTCTCTTTTTCCTTGCAATCTTGTATTTCTTGTGCAGGGGCCTCTCTGCTGTGCTGCTGCTGGGTATTGGCTCCTGTCTGTAATGCTTAACATTTCCCTTCAGACTTTTGTTTCCAGGAGCAGCCTAGACAATGTAAACTGGAACCTTCTCGGAGTGTGAGCCCAGAAAAACAGAGTCCCATTAAGCAGAAGCAGCTTTTGATTTCAAATCCGGTGGCTTTTTCAGTATCCCCTGGCAACTGCAGTTTAGTTCAAGTCCGTTCTGAGCAAAAATAGTCCTGTTTATTTCCCATTAGTGTGAAGGTTTTCAGTGGGTTTTACCAAGCAGGTAGGAATCTGCAAGTGGAAAAACCCACTGCTGAGATGTGCTGCAGACACTGGGCAGAAACAGGATTTGAGAATGGAAAAGAAGCAAGGGACTGGAATTATTGCTGCGTGAACAAAGGAGGTTTATTTAGAATGATGGTTTCTGAGCTGGAGGAGCATCCATGGAACAGCTGGGAGAGTTATTGTGAATCACATCTTCCTGCTGGAGTAAGGGGAGCACTTCAGCCATCGCTCTGCGTGTTCCCTGCAATCCCCACGCCTGTCTGCATCCCCCTGCTGACAGAGGGGCCCAGCACAGCCACCCCTCTGCCCCAACAGGAGCGAAGATGCTGCTGATCTTTTGCCTTCCTACCTCAAAATGCACTTCTGACCTGCTGTGATGCAGGGCAGGGATGCTGGCTGTGCTTTCTTGAGACCACAGTTCTGTCTCAGAGTCCTGTTGACGAAGCTGAAGTGAGGTTACAGGAGTGAGGCTTGTAGCTGTGTTGTGTCTTCTGCACTGTGTTCTTCTTCCTCACCCTTACCCTGCTTAGGAGTGGAGGTTTCTCTTTCCTCCTCGCTCCCATCCTATTTCCTCAGCTCTCCCATCTACCACACCTCCTACTGAGCGCTCCTGATTTAAAATAAACTACAAAATCTGCTTTTTTTTCTCTCTTTTCCTGGCTTTTCATCGCTTGCTCTTCGGTGCATTTCAGCTGAACCTTGGCACAGTAGGCTTCTACCGCACGCAGTACAGCCCTGAGATGCTGGAGAGTTTAATACCAGCCATCAAAGACCTCTCCCTACCCCCCGTGGACAGACTCGGCCTGCAGAACGATCTTTTCTCCCTGGTAAGTGCGTGCTGTTCTGTCCAGTGACAGAAATGGGTGTTTGAAGAGTCAGCCTCTGTTTTTTTGGAGGCAAAGCACCCTTGGGATTACTGCATGTGTTTCACTGTGAACTCACTCAACAGGTTCAGACTTTTGGGAGCTTTCTTTTAGTTGGTAAAAGCAGGGATGTTCTAATGATCCCCTCAAAGACTTTACCCAAGACTTTAGCAGCCAGTAGGGTTTGTCAAGTCTTCCTCCCCTGGCAGAAGTGGCTGCTGGGGGTTCCTGAGCAAGGGACTGCCTCAAAAGCAGGCAGTGTCAGCTCTGAGCAATGCATTGCTGTGCTCTGTGCTTCACATTGTGCTTTCTTTTTGGTTAGCAAAAGCACGGGAGGTTGGAGCAGCGTGGGTTTGAGTGGTCGTGGCTCAGTCAAGGGGGTTTGAAAGCGTGGCCTGGGTCCCTTCCCACGTATTGCAGGACCAATGGCACAGATAATAACAACACACACAGGATCTGTGTTACACTCCTTCATTTCTGTGCCTGTTTCCATTTAATTAATACTTCATCACAGCTTAAATAGCAGAAATCGATTTTCCACCCCCTTTTCTTTGCCATGATTTACCAGTCTGCTCCCAGCTGAAGCAGATTGGAGATTTATCACCTGCACTGAGCACCTTCACAGTGCTGGGAGGCAGCTTAGGTTTGCCCTGGCACAGGCAGGAAGGCTGCTTGCACTTCTATGAGGAGCAGGAAGCAAAGATGGTTCCTGCAGCTTTGCGCTGCCAATTTAACGAGGAGCAAAACTTAAACCTTGCATTAATTACAATTTTAGGTAAAAATAAGCTGTTGGGGGTGTGATATCTGGCTGAGAAGCACTCAGGTTTATCATCTCTTGCCAGCTCTGCTTTGAGGTCATTTAAGCTCGTTGTCTGTTTCCTGTTTGCAGAATGCACTTCCCATGGTGTCACCTGTGAATGCAAAGCACTGCGTGCCCTCAGAGCTCAGCACGGCCTCATTTATGAGGCAGGGAGCAGCTGAGTGCCTTAATTCTGCATGGAAGGAAAACTAATCTGTGTCTTTCTCCTCTCCCAGGCCCGAGCTGGAATCATTAGCACTGTAGAGGTTCTGAAAGTGATGGAAGCGTTTGTGAATGAGCCCAATTACACGGTGTGGAGCGACCTCAGCTGTAACCTGGAGATTCTCTCAACCCTCTTGTCCCACACAGACTTCTATGAGGAAATCCAGGTGTTTGTGAAAGATGTCTTTTCACCAATAGGGGAGAGACTGGGATGGGACCCCAAACCTGGAGAGGGTAAGAGAACTCACCGTTGGGTTTCACGGTGCGGTGTTGGGTTTTGAAACAAATAAGCCATCAAAATGTTGGGAAACGGCAGAGAAGGGAGGAAGAGGAAGGGCTGAGGAAGGCACTTGGGGTGTTTTTATGTTTGAAAAGCCAAACACAAAGCCTCCAAACAACTCTCTTCTCTCGAGTGCACGTTGAAATGGTGAATGTTTCCCTGTGCAGTCAGTGGTTGGTTTAAGAACCCTCTGCTGTTGCTTTGCATCTGTCAGAGTGCACCAAACTTCTTAGGCTGTCGGGGTGGGAGGCCACAGGTGGTCCCAGTGCAGATCCAGCAGGTTGCTTGTGATTACCAGACCGCAGGCAGAGCGTGCTGTGTTTGCTCTGGGATTTCATCCTCCTGATCCTCTTGCTGTTTAAAAGCTAAAATATTCCTCCAGTGGCACTGAGGAGAGCTGGAAAGTCCTGGTTTCTTTACATAGCCCTTCATTTGCAGAAGGATTATTTGGTAGCTTATCAATGTAGGTTGGAAGAACCAAAGAATGACATTTCTTCATTCAGTTGTCTCCAAATAACTGTTCTCTCCTACTGACCAGGTCATCTAGATGCCCTTCTGAGAGGTCTGGTGCTGGGCAAACTTGGCAAAGCCGGGCACAAGGCTACCTTGGAAGAAGCCCGACGCCGGTTTAAAGACCACGTGGAAGGAAAAAACATCCTGTCAGCTGACCTGAGGAGTCCTGTAGGTTATCAGGGGGTTTGGTTCCCAGCTGCACTGGCACAGGAACGCCTCTGGTCTCTGGATGGTGTTGGTTTTAGGGTCTGGATGTGGGTTTTGTGTGCCTGAAGCGCCCGCCGTCAGCGCGTGGTGCAAAGATTTCTTGCTCTCTTGTTTTGCTGAAGCTGAAATTAAGGAAGAGGGGTTGGCAAAGTCGGCCTGGAATTCAGTGCTGAAACAAAAGGGGGCAGTGCAGCCACCTTCCAGTGCTCACCCGTTTGAAATCCAGCCCCAGCACATCACAGCTGTTTGTTGCACAGCCCCTTTCCCCACGGTGAGCTTTGCATTCCCCAGGTGCGATGTGTGAAGGCTGTCTTTGTGCTTCTCTCCCAGGTCTACGTCACTATTTTGAAGCATGGAGACAGCACTACTTTAGACACCATGCTCAAGGTGAGTGCAGCCCCTTCCTGCACACAAGCAGCTTGTGCATAGAAGGGAAAAACGTCCCACCCTGTGGCTGTGTTGACTGAGGTGGAGTTTGGGGTGCTGAGTTTTGGGTGCTGCTGGGCCCGCTGGGGTGGTGAACAGAGGATGATTCAGCCTTAATTGAGCTCCTTGGTCCTCAAGCGGTGTGAAATTGCCACCTAGTGGATTGCTGCCTCTCTCATTTTAGGATCGTTTCCCGTTGCTCAGAGGCACGGTTCTACTTGGCCTTAGATAAAGTGGTGATCAGCTTGTTGCTGATGGTGCTTTGTGCTCGTGTGGAGCGAGGCCCCTCGTGTAGATAACAGCCATGTTATTCACAGACAGGCTCAGTTTGTCACATATTGTGCTTAAAGACAAACCTAGCAGCCTATCCAGCAAGGTGAGCAGCACCAGGTGATGAGAGGAGGCCACTTCACATCTGTGCTAACGCTCTTTGCTCTGCCTTTCAAGCTTCACAAGCAAGCAGACATGCAGGAGGAGAAGAACCGAATCGAGCGCGTCCTCGGGGCCATCTCCCAGCCTGAGCTGATTCAAAAAGTTCTCACCTTTGCACTTTCAGTAAGTTATTGGAAAAGCTGCTGGTGGAGGCTGGGAGCTGCCAGAGCAACCTGGAAATGGAGCACAGGGGGTGGATTTGGGAAGGGTGCAGGGCAGGGGGGGACCGGCGGCCTCCCACCCCTCACTGCTGTGCATGCAGCCCTCAGAACAGCAGCGCTGGGTGAGAGCCCTGTGTGAGGCACTGGGCTTTGTAACAGCAGAAATACACATTCCTATGTCAGGTCCTTGCTCCCATACCTGCCAGGCTGTTACTAGGGGGTAATGCAGCTTTTTTCTGCCTTCATTCGTGCCCTCGGTGTCTGTTAGCAATGTTTGTTCGTCCCCAGGAAGAGGTACGTCCCCAGGACACCGTGTCTGTCATCGGAGGAGTGGCTGGAGGCAGCAAGCAGGGGAGGAAAGCTGCTTGGAAGTTTGTACGAGACAACTGGGAGGAGCTTTATAATCGATACCAGGGTGGATTCTTGATATCCAGACTAATAAAGGTGCGTGGAGCACAGCTCTGTTAGCATGCAGGGCCCAGACTGGGTTATGTCTGAAATGCTGACTGCTTACCTTTGGTTTTCTGCTTGTTTTTCCCTGCAGCTGACAGTGGATGGGTTTGCAAACGATAAAATGGCGGCGGAAGTCAAGGTAAGAAAAGTGATTTGTGGAGGCAATGGATTGAATTTGGGATGGGCACGAGCTGCTCTGAGCTGGGGGGAGCCACAGGTTTGGGGACCGTGCCTCTGAGTTGTGGGACTGTTGTGCAGTTCCTCAGTTGTGCTGCTTTGACTGTAACATCAGAAATTAGTTCATTACGCAGCTCTTAACGATCCCCATTTCATTAGCTTTGCTCATTGCTACTCACATGGTAGACATGAGCTGGATTCCGTGCTGCGGGTCCAGGTTTGTGCCTTCAGTTGCGATGAGAGCAAGGGACAGATGAGTGTCTGCAGGGCTCTGCAGGGCTCTGCTGGCTCCCAAATCCCCACAGTGTGTGAGCACTGAGCCCTGGGGAGCCTGCAGGCTTTCTTTGCCCCCTGCCTGCAGTTTTATGGGGGCTCCTCGGTAGAAGAAACACAAAAACGTGGCCCTCATTTGTGGCTTTGCCATTAACCAAACACTGAGAGGGAATTCATGGTCGGAAGAGCCGTCGAGCCCCGTGTTGGCAGCGCTCAGCAATCTCTTCCCCCGAGGTTCGGGAGCAGCAGTGATGATGCAGAGAATTCTCATGCTGTCACTTTGCCCAACAGACAGCAGAGCTGTGACTCGTTTCTGTGATGGCTGCCCTGTGCTTTTGGGCAGCGTGTGTTGGGGTGGGGGTGAGGATGGTGGGAAGGGGAGGATGGGAAGGGGAGGATGGCTCCCTGCAGGGCAGCTCGGCCCGCCCCACAGCAGTGCATTCAGCTGGAGCTGTGGGCAGGCGATCCAGGCTGGCTGTGGCTCTGGCCGCCTGCTCTGCTGCTCGGTGCCCCTGCACGTAGCAGGGGGGGGAAGGTTGGAAACCAGGTGATCGCGGCGGTCCTTTGCCAACCCGGGCCGTTCTGTGATAGAGAGGTGCTGCAGGGATGAAGGCGAGAGGTGGTGCAGCGCCCAGAGCTCGCGGTGCAGCGGGCAGCGGTGCTCAGAGCCGAGGATACGTGGAGCAGCGCTTTGCTTGGCCAAAACGGCCCTTAGAGCCTTTTTGTGAGCACCCAGAAACGCACGCTGGGTTTGCTGCCCCGAGGGCGAGGACGGGACAGCGATGGAAACGGAGCCGTCCTGCGGCCGGCGGAGAAACCCCGCTCCTTCCCATAGAAACCCAGGAGCTCGGGGGGAGGCTTGCAACCCCCTGCTGAGGCCACGGCGCTGTGCTTTGTGTGCAGGCTTTCTTCGAGAGCCACCCGGCGCCGTCGGCGGAGCGCACCGTGCAGCAGTGCTGCGAGAACATCCTGCTGAACGCCGCCTGGCTGAAGAGGGACAGCGAGGACATCCATCAGTTCTTCCTGCAGAGGAAGGGGCCGCCCCCCGCCACGGCCTGAAGCCGCGCCGCCGCTGAGCCCCACCGCCTCCGTGGGGGAGGGGGGAAGGAAGGAGGAGCCGCTGCCCCGCGGCCGATCGATACGCCAAGAATTCGGAGTCTTTTTATCTCAAGCGGACGGGGATTGGACTGAATGTAGTGAAGTGGTTCCTGCTCACACTCCAGAATTAAAATTGGATGAAAATTAATCGCGATTCAACGAAAAGAGGGGGAGAGGAGAGAGAGAGAGAGAGAGAGAAAAAGAAAAAGGGAGGAAAGAGAAAAAAAAAAAAAAAAAAAGGAAAAAAAAAATCTGTAAATATGATAGTAATAAAATAGAGCATAACAAAACTGTGAAACTTCCTCCAGCCTTGTCGGTGGTCACAATATTTAACAGCCCCTCCTCGTTGGCAGATTTTGGTGGATTTTGTTTGGTTTTCTGGTTTTTTTAATGCCCTCCCCCCCCCTCTAATTAAAAAAAAAAGAGGAAACCAGCAGAGCGAGGTCAGCAGAATTCGGGGCAGGAGAGGCTGGGCGCTCGGAAGGCAGGAGGCCAAACAGCTCCCAGCTCCCAGCACAAGGTTTGGGGCAGGAGATGCTCCCACAACCCCCCTCCCCACCCCACGGATCGCAGGCTCCCCCTTTTTTGTGTTACCTCTCAGCAGAAAGAAAACCCTCCTGCCGCTCTCTGCTCCTCGGTTCCACTTTGCTGACGTCCTTTAGAGATAACGGGCTCGGATGGAAACATCTTCCATCGCCGCCATTCAGTCTCTCGTCCTTTTTCCTCCTGCCCCCCCTGCATGCCCTCGGGCGGTGCTTTGTGCCCGGCTCCCCGCTGCTGCCTGGGCCCCGCTCTGCTCCGTGTCCCCACTCCCAGCCCGTCCCACCTCCTCGTGGCCGTAGCAGCAGTAGCTTCTCGTTCCTTCCTGTGATGTCTATGGTCATTGGATTCAGAAGCCTTAAACGAGTGCTGATGAAGCCTGAGCTGCGTTTCCTTGGCCCGGGCTGCTCACCGACACGACGCCCTGACAAAAAAAGGTTGGAGCTCCGTATGGATTTTTTTTCCCTTTAACAAGAATTCATCTTTGTTGTGGCTTCACTGCACTTCAGAAGGTCAGCAGACTGTCAGCCCGCTTCCCCCAAAACATTTTTGTGCTCTTGTTTAAAAATAACAAACAAAAAACCCAACCAACCCAACAGAAAAACCACAACGAAAATTCCAAACAAGTTGGCGTTAATAAAAATGTCAATGTGAAATTCGTCTCCTGGGCTCTTGTTCTTTCCTAACCCTGCCGCCAGGCCCTGCGATGGCTGCAAGCCCCCACCTCTGTCCTGAGCCGCTTCCCCTGCTGCTTTCTGTGCTCTGAGTGCAGCATGGCCTGCGCTGCTGGGCCACAACCACGGGATGCTGGCTGTGCAGCTTGGCCTCGGGCTGCAGCAGGAGCCAGGACAGAAGGTGGGAGGCACAGGAATGGTGCAGGGCCCTTTTTGTCCCAATGGTCCCCGTTCGGTTCGCTGCTGCTTTTCCCTCCCGTCAGCACTGCAGAGCCAAAGCGATTTCAGAGCTGTAAGCTGATTTCCCTTCTGCTTTGTGCACGCGGACAAAATGACACAGGGTGATTTTGGCCTGAGCAGCGATGGGTGAAATGAGAACAAGCGCGGCTGTGAGTCGAGGTGGTTTTTGTTTTTTGCTTCAGACGATGCAAAGACCTGAGAGCAACTGAAGGAAAGCGACAAAAAGACAAAATGTTTTTTCTTTACGTGATTGACCCCGAGGTCTGGCGGAGCCCTGATGTGTTCTCAGGGAATCTGTGGCAACAGTGGAGCTGGGGTGCTGCTGGTAGAGGCTGGGAGCTGCCAAAGCAACCTGGAAATGGAGCACGGGGTGGATTTGGGAAGGGTGCAGGGCAGGGGGGGGACCGGCGGCCTCCCACCCCTCACTGCTGTGCATGCAGCCCTCAGAACAGCAGCGCTGGGTGAGAGCCCTGTGTGAGGCACTGGGCTTTGTAACAGCAGAAATACACGTTCCTATGTCAGGTCCTTGCTCCCATACCTGCCAGGCTGTTACTGTGGGGTAATGCTTCACCCATCGGGCAGACAGGTGGACGTGGAATTGACTGGGAGCAGCTCAGGATCTGTTTTACCCTCCTGAAACACCCGGATTTCAGACCCGTGTGCAGCACGTGTGGAATGGCAGCAGTGGGGAGGCAGCAATGAGGTCCCAGTGATTCCCACAGCTGTGCCTCAACGCTCCGCATCCACATCGCAGTGCGACACCTCGACCCTTGTGAAATTCGTGCTGTGGGTTTGTGATAATTTGCAGTCCAGCAAAAATGTTTGGGAGCGAAAGGCAGAGGATGGAGCCCCGTGCTTCAGCACCATCTGCTCTGCTGGGTTGGAGCTCTGGTGGAGCGGAAGGCCGTGCTGCTGCTCACTGAGACCACAGAATGGTTTGGGTTGGAAGGGATCTCAAGGATCACAAAGCTCCAGTTCCCCCACTGCATGCAGGGCCACCAACCTCCCCATTTCACAGCAGCCCAGGACCCCATCCAACCTGGCCTTGAACACCTCCAGGGATGGACGGGGCATCACAGCCTCTCTGGGCAGCTGTTCCAGCACCTCACCATTCTCACAGCACAGAACTTCCCCCTGACATCCAACCTCAATCTGCCCTCCCTCAACTTAAAGCCATTTCCCCTTGTCCTGCTGCCATCTCCCCTTTCCAAGAGTTGACTCCCCTCCTGTTTGTAGGCTCCCTTTAGGAGCTGGAGGCTGCAATCAGGTCACCTCTCAGCCCTCTCTTCTCCAGGCTGAACAAGCCCAGCTCCCTCAGCCCGTCCAGACCAGAACAGGCTGACAGCTGGGCAGAGAAACGCGATGGGTTTCAGCGTGGGCAGCACACGGAGGGTTCTGCAACAGGGGAGGAGAAACCATCAGTGCGATTTGGGGCTGAGCTGCTGGGAAGGAGCTCCGCAGGGAAGGAGCTGGGAGTGCCGGGGGCCACGAGGTGACGGTGAGCTCACGGTGCGGCCCAAAGGCCAACGGGAGCCGGGCTGCGGGCAGAGCAGCTGCAGAACTGCGCCCTGATCCGGGAGGAACGGGAAGCGCTGGGAGAGCTGCGGGCTCAGGGCCTTTTTGAGCACGGACCGGAAGGGAGAGCGGAGCCGCCCGCGTTGGGTTCAATGCCGGCCGCGAGGCAGCGCGGTGCCCCCGGTTTTGCTCCCCGCGCAGCCCCCCGCCCAAGCCAAACGCGGCGCTTCCGGGCCGGGCCGCGGCGCTTCCGGTCGGCGCCGCTCCGCGCGGATTCCCACCCCCTCCGCGAGCCCCCCACGTGGCCGCCTCCCCCCGCTCAGCACCGCCGCAGCCGCCGCCGGGGCGCCCTTCGCGGCGTCGCCCAATCAGCGCGCGGCGCCGCCGGAAGCCCCGCCTCCTCTCTTCCTCCCCGCGGCCCGCCAACGCCCTCCCCCCGGCGCCGAACGACCAATAGGAACGCGAGCCGCCTGCCGGCTCCCACCAATCGGCACGTCGGCGCGGGGCGGCGGGCCGCGGCCGTGGTATCCCTCCGCCGCTCGGTGTGCGCGCGCGCACCGCTCCGCCCGCGCGGCCCTTTTTCTCCCTCCGCCGCCGCCGCCGCCTCCCGCAAATACCGGAGCGCCGCCGCCCCCCCCGCCCCATCGCTCCCCTCCTCCCTTCCCTCCACCGCTCCGGAGCCGCCACGCCGCCGCCATGGAGCTCATCACCATCCTGGAGAAGACGGTCTCGCCGGGTAAGGCCGCGCGCTTCAGGCCGTGCCGGGGGTGCGGCGCTCCCCGCTCCGTT